GCGCAGTATTTGAATATATGCAAATTATAATGCCGACGAGCGTACAAAAAATTTCGGGATATCTCTCGATATAGTAGTAATTAATTATTATTATTTAGTATTTTCCGAATTTATTATGCGAGGATATTCACACCGAATACTAGTAACTGTTTATTATCTCATGGTACATCCGCTCGCAAATATACTGGAGTGATTTAAGCACTGAGTTCTACAACATGTTATTTATGGCTCGGCATACCGATTTATGATCATAGAATAGGCATAAGTTATGGGAGTCTGTCAATTTCGATAAAAGCCGCCTGTTATATCCCGCAATTCTCAATAAATTCACGATTAGCAGTGATTTTTGTGATTACCATAATCACGAACCGGTATATCGCAATGATCGATTAATCGTCAAATTTCTCGAATGTGTTGAAATGCGTCCAAAGTAAATTACCTAAATCAAATCGTACTATATAAAAAAAAATAAATAAATATAAATCGCTGAAATCATCTGCTAATATTATTTAATGAATTAATCTTTCGAGTTGAACTTCTGAGAAGTTCTTCTTCGAAGAGTGATGAGCATCAGTCAACGAGTTAGTACTAGATCATGTGAAATAAAGAAGGATAGAAATTGAAGAATAGAAAAAAATGATGTAGAATGTGGTGCACTCGGTGACCTAATAAATGAAACGTTGATTCCTTCTGGTAAGCAAGCAAGCTCCATTTGCATTGATCACGATCTTAATTCGAGGGAAATAGAACTCGAACGGCCGTATCAGATCATCGTTATTAAAATTTGACTTACTTCCAGACGGACGGCTTGTAAAGCAGCGTATGAGCAATGTAAATACGATATCTCATTAGGTTTTTACGAGTGCCTAGACGGCAAGTCGAGTTCGCGATTTTTCTCGCGATCGGTCTAATCGGTTATCGTTAATGAACTGGTTCGCGCGGTCGTCGGACTGGAATGAAACGACATGGAACACTTGACCGGTTGACTCTGTTTCACACGAATGGAGACCGCACATTCGAGATGTACAATCGGCGATTGGTGTCGCCGGTGTCGCGTTAGGAAGAAACCATCGAGAGCCATCAACGACTTCCCGATATCGTTTGATAATGCGCTAGACGGCCGACCGCCGCGACATTTGCATATTGATTACGCGAGGGCACGATGTACATCGGCCACTGAGAATCGCAAACCAATCTCCGGCAGATTAGAGAAACGTACCGGCGCTTCGTCGTAATCGAAATCGGTTATGACTGTACTACAAGTGTCACGCCAGGTATATATTTTCACATCTGATTGCACGACGGGCGACGTGTCCACTCGCCCGAGCCTGTCGATTATCGCGCGATTGTCGCGGTGCAGGAAATCGGGATTTTCGTATCGTGGAAATAAAGGACGTGCTCGCGACGATTATCCCCGCTGTATTAGATTTACCTTGCGGAAGGAACACAGAATTCCATTATTAACGCTCCCAATCTAGCGCAATTACACTCGAGACTATAGATTCTCACCTACAACACACACCTCATCATATTTCGCTTGACGTTTTTATTTTACTTGGTATTTAAAGTATTTGGCACTTTAAAAGTAAAAGTTGTATCTGAAAAAAATCTTACTCTAAATTTTAATATTTAATATTTCATTTAGTTTTTAGTATTTTCTTTATTTGTCAGTATATTTTTCCATCTAAATAAAAGATTATAAGATATGTCCATTTATTACATGATTTATTAAATTATTTTCTTTTTAATAAAATGTTAAAAATTGCGACATGTATTCTTCGAAGGAAGGTCAATACTTTTTTACATTTTAACGAACGGGCACGTAGAAATCAGAGAAAAAAGTATCTCTTGTAATTTGAAGAGTTAAGTGACAGCCGAGGAAACTAATTTCTCGAATTATCTTATTTTATAAAACCTCGGGATAATGATTTTATCGGGACTTTATGCATCCAGACTTTTTAACTAACGTTAATAAGTGTGCTAATAATGTTTCTTGTACGATCTGCGTCCCAAATCGAAGCCCGCCTGACATATCTATCTTTTTAATGCCGCCTAACGGCACTTCATATCTCTCCCCGTTTGGACCGCTATCGCACTCGCGGATAGAATTGTATTTTTATTCAAAAATGCCGCGCGGGACGAGAAATATATTATCTGTCGAATTTACATTCGTACAAAATGTAACTCGGGAGATTTATCTTTCTAATCGCCGCGGATCGGTTATTTGCATGTTAGCGGAAAAAAGCGCTCGAAAAATCGATAATCACGCGTGTGTCTATTTGTCCCTCGTCACGCTGAAAAATATTTAATTTCTCTCGAACGGCTCAGCTCGTACGGCTTGTTTTGTCAGGCCGCGTCGTTTCGCGCGTGTCATCCGCAAAATAAAGCACCACGGCATTTGAGGTTACGTGTACGGGCAACAAACTAAAGGAGCTGCAAAAATGATAAAGCGATCTCAGATGAGACCTGTCGCGAAAGATCGCGATCTAGAACGGCATCTAGAACGGATGTCCCATGTTCCTCTGAGAATATCGAATGGACCGCAGCGCGGTCCATCTTTTTCCCTTCAACCTCGCCATTGTAAGGCGTCGACCGATAATCAATGGAATTTCCTTAATTAATATCGGCACACTTCCACACTACGGTTCACTGACTTTATTCCAGTTCGACTTTCATCTCTCAGGCGTTTCTTTGCCATAACTTCGCCAAGACAAATTTTATTCAGCTTGACGACAATAACGGTGGAGAACAAAGACGAATGCCAATGATTGGCTCTCAATTGAATCTAATTTATTATTTTTTATAAATAGTCATAGAAATTCTCTCACTCCTTCTCTCTCTTTAGGCGTTTTAAAAAATTAATCGATCAAGCAATATGTCAATCAACAATATGGATAATAATCACGCGCCCAGTTATTCTGATCTTCATCTCTCAATGAACTAAATAATAGATATATAATTTTATTTAGAAATATTCATTTAACTTTATATAATTGAACACATAAACAGTTTTTATTATGAAAATGACTGACATTAAATCGAGTGATATTCACTCCGGAAAAAAGTATTTATTTCGTAACGTTTACAATAATTTACAATAATTAATATTCAACTGTGAGTCACACACATTTCGAACTTGAACGATACGTGTGTCTTATTCGTAATAAACGTACACAAAGAGACGTGCAGAAATGGTGACAAATTGCAGAAGCCTTCCTCGACGATCATAAAGATTTCTACGAGGTTTCCACGCCACCGTGTAACCTAATTAGCATTCGCCCTTGGTCATTACCCTTAATAAAACTTGCACAAGCTCTACTCGTAATACCCGTAAAGAAACTTTTGTCACAGAGAAACGAAAGAAGGTGAAGGATGAACAGATCATCAACCGTGCAATCGTGCATATCGATTGTTTCTCTTTAAAGCGATACGGTATTGACGTTTGAAAAACACGGACTTGTATATAAGTTATATACGATAATTTTAAAGACACTCGTCAGCAAAATAAATAATAATAGAACGAACAATTAAACAAAAAATAAAATTATTAAATATGATATATAGATTTAATTCAATATGGTTCGCAATTTAAGTGACATCGTCAATAAAATATCTGATTTTCTTTTCTCTCTCTTTTTCTTTTTCTCCTTACAAAAGGAGAGAATTTGCCAGGGTTATCCTTCAATATTTGAAACCATAAATCCTTTATTGCATCCCTGCGACCGACGATTGCACGCGCAACTTACATAAGTTCAAGCCCTACTAACTGAGTTCTGGGTTTAAAGCGAGATTTCCGTCCTTGCACCATCGAAGAGTTTTGAGGTTGTTTCTGTAACTAAGGACTTACTGCGTATAGTACTCTTCAGAAGAGCGTCGAGCCAAGTTTCCGAAACTCGGCTAAATTCAACCTTCGTAACCTTATTATTCGTCTTATTTACTGATCATTAACCTTTAATCGTCAACAAAACTGTTTTCTTAGGCCCTATCGTATTAAGGGCACTTATGGCCATTCTCAATGATTAAATTCTCGCAATTTAAAAGTTTTGCAGACCAATAACACGTATATCACTATATATTCTCAAGACGACTATTAACATGTTTTCTTCAACGACTCATTTGTTTAACATTTAGTTGGAATGCATGAATAAATGCATCAGGTTTTCCAAATCAAAATTAATCAAACTTCTCGCGTGATAATCGTAAATAATCATATCTTGAGATCCGTGTATGATTTAATATATCTACAATACACGGAACTCGAACAACATTTAATTAATGTTTTTATAAAATATTTGAAGAAAAATGATGAAAATGAAATAGTCAATATACTTTGGCAAATATTCCTGAGCAAATTAAATATTGTACGATCGGAGAGAGAGATTGAAATTTAAAATTCTCGAAATCACGTTATTAACAATTCTTGCAATATCATGTCGTTACAGAATTTACGAATGACTACAACTCTGCACTTACGCATAATAGAGCGCCATAATAGATTTCTCAAAATTGCTTGTTGCATATATGCAATATGCGTCAGATTCGCGACGTAATGTTTCTTGGACTAAACCGACTAATCGAAATCGTCAAGCGTAATAATGAGGAAGTACCTTCTTGTTATTCAAATCAACGCACTCTCTAAAAGAGTCAGTAATATTCAGAGCTTAAAGTCATTGTTTAAGATCCAAACTCTGTTTTCATGGTGTTCTGTCGATTCTATCTTTATCGACATTTTTCGAACTTTAAAAATTACATAGAGCAAATGTAATCTTAATAATTCATGATGATATAAAAATATTTTAATAATAAATTAAAATTTTTAGATTAATAGAGGGAGAGAGAGAGAGAGAGAGAGAGAGAGAGAGAGAGAGAAATGGAAAAGAAATGTGCTTTTTCCACGGAGTAGCATTTTTCAAATTGGTTTCTTCGAAGATATCTTGAAATATTTACCATGAAAATTTCTTCATGTCCTACGATATTAAGACTTCGAAATACAAATCCAAAGAATGTCGTATCTTACCCAAGATTATTCCCTCTTTGTGTTTACTATATTCCTTTTCTTTTGGGCTGCAAAACAATAGAAACGCCGAGTACATTTTCCTCGGATTTTCATGATAATTCGCCCATGGGGAAATGTTCCCCGCGAGAGAAACGCGGATACTTGCATGCGAGAGAGACAGAGGGAGGGAAAGAGAGGACGCGTCAGGGAGGGAGAGGACGTTTAAATACGAGCAGAAGCGCGCGCGCTACTTCAGTCCGACGCTAACAGTCCAAACCGATTGATATTCGGATCTCGGAGGAAACAGCCATCTTCTCTTCGTAATCTCTTTTCTTCTCTTCGATTTTCGTCGAAAAAAAAAAAGAATCGAACAGATAAGTCGTGAGAAGAACGAGGAAACCCGGACACGAAGAGTTTCCGGTTGACACCCCGGAAACGACCGCGGGTCTTCGGGCTGAAGTAAAAGCCGGAACGGAAGAAAGGGACAAAACAGAAGTGTGTGGTTATGTGCTAGTGAGAGAGTCTGGAAAAAAGATCTGGAAAAAAAACCTCAGAGTAAGGCACAGAGAACACCGATCTAATCGCGATGACCAACAGCATGAAGCAAACGGTTATCAAGTGAGTTGCCGCAGTTATTTATTAGAAATAGTGATTCTTTCCGATGATAATTGATTGACTCGCGACTAAATCGCGGAATAAATCTCCCGAATCATTTTTTTCACTCCAAGTGCAACTATATCTCTGGTTATTACAAGCTAATATGACGCAGTTTTCACGATGCAGTGAAATATCACAGTATTCTAATAATGATAATCATTGCACTTAAAGGATTTACTAATGTAAACAGTATTCTATTTTCATAGAGACTTATCTATATTATAAAATAAAATTATTCATATTATAAAATAAAAAATTATGTTAGAAAAATGATCCTCACGAGATTACTTGCTGCTTTTCATTATTTGCTTTGTTTAATTTATATCGATGTCTTTAAAGTGTAAGTTAAATTCATTATTTAAATTCAGAGAGGCTGAAAAGCTTTAAATACTATTACGTGAGCAATAAAATAATTGAAGAAACTTTTTATTATTCTGCGAAACTATTCTACAAAACTTTTAAACAACTATTCATCCGCGTTATAAAAGTATTTATATCTATCCGTATTTCAAAGTTGACAGTTTTAATTTCTAAATCTATAAATCTTTGAAACAATTTGTAATTAATTTTTTGCTGTATAAACGATTTAAGTTTTTTCATAAGTTAAGCTTGGAAGGTACACAGATAACAAAAACTTCTTTCTTATTTCATTCGAGATGAACTTTATCCTTTTCTTATACGAACAACTTTCCGCGGGAAATATCTTTTTAACTTTTATCTATAAATGGAAAACTTTTATACATTTACATGAAAAAGACACGTGTCTAGCAATCGTAAATCGCTGACGTGCTGCCCATACCGGAATACTTTTTGCGATCTTTTTTTGTCTTTTATCATGTGTATTAGCAAAGTTTTACCATGGACTACGTGCCCGCAGTTTATGCAACGTTGTTGAAAACTGGTCGTCCAATGAAATCCGGTGAGATAAATCAGAATGGAAGAATATTTCATAAGAGATGAAAGTGTTTTTAAATCCGATAACGAATCATAATTATCATGCGAATTATTTATCGATGCATTAGAGATTTTTTTAAGTTTTACTTTCCTGTAATATAGCATTTTGGAAATATATATGGGAAGCTAGACGGAGATGATAGGAGCGATAATATTCGTAAAATCTGATTTATTCCGATTATTCAGAATGTCTTGTTATTCCGTATCAGCTCTCTATATTTTTTCTCCTTCGAGATTCTTCTTAAAAAACAAATAATTCTTAATAACAAGTACAGTATCGAAGGAGAATCTGTTTTCTGTTATTGTTTGCCTCTTGTCTCGAGTTGTTAAACATTCAAATTATGTTACAAAGAAAATAACGTTACAAAGAAAATACAAAAAATGAAATATATGACTAAAACGAAAAAAAATTATTATAAGAGAATATAGAAAATATCTAAGTCTATTCTGTTGAGCTAATTCGGATGTCAATGTAACGATATAATCGCCACAGCATCTTTATTCAAGAATTATGACGCACTATTGGATATTATTTAACTTGACATCGAGTTTGAATTTTATTTATTCATTATTCTGATCGTAATTCGATATAAAATATGACAATTGAACACATTAATCATTAAATGTAAATAAGAATAAACTTTTAAATTTATTGATGCGTCTCATTTAATTCAGAAAGAAATTATTCTTATGCAAATTTAGATATATTATTTTCATATTGCTCCGAATGTACATATCATGATAGTTATATAAGACATTGCTTTGCAATTATGGCAAGCAACTTTGCGATGTAAATGTGGCTGAGATGAAATCTGTTGACATCACACTCATCTTTACTCTGATTTCTTATCTTGATTTATCATACATAGATCAAGATGCCAACTTAATATCTAATATTTTTCTTTGATAATTGATTGAAGGAATTTATTCTTGCTTTTATTTTTTTTGTTGGGAATTTACAATATTTTACAATGTGTGTGTGTGTGTGTGTGTGTGTGTGTGTGTGTGTGTGTGTGTGTGTGTGTGTGTATTTTTATGGACTAATTGATGAAATTGCACAGTAGAACTTCTATTATGCGAAAATCGTTTATCCAAACATTCGATTATTCAAACAGCCTAATGAAAATAAACATTCGCGCTCCGAACTAACAATTCAGAATAATGAAAAAATATAAAGGACATTAAAAATACTGTTAAATTATTATTTTAGTTTATGCGTTGTTCATATAATTAATAAATTTTCTTTAAAATATAGTCCTTTGATTATTCAAACATGATTATCAATGATTATCAAAATATTTTTTTTCCAGATCATAGTTCGGAATACAAGTTTCACTATTAGCGGAATAATTTGAAATAATTTTTTATATTTAATAAGTCGAATATTGAAATTAATATTAATTAAAAAGCGTGTAAGAATTATAACATATATAATAATATTTTGATTAACCTAATTAGCCTAATAATAAATACCAAATTTGTAAACATAAATATGAATAATGTTGCACATTGCATTTAACAATCACTTTTGTTTTCAAATTATATCCAAGTAGACATTCTATCTTATTAAGCGGATTTGTAGTGAGCTGATATTCGCATCGGATCTGGAGCATGTAACGTTTATCGATTGCCGTAGCAAATCGCGGTATCTCGATACGTGCAAGCCTATTAAGGCTGAGGTTCAGCTATACAAATGAAAGAGTGTGACGTTTTGAGCGCAACGAGAAATCTCGCGATTTCAATGCACGCAGGGACAGCCAGTGATAACCAGGCGTTGATGTTACGCCGAGAACCGGCCGGCCATTGCGCCGCACGGAGACAAAAAAGTACGGTCGCGTTGTAGAAAAAAAGAATCCCTTCTCTCTAAAAATTCTTAACCTTCCGTCAGCCTCGGTTACGTTAATAAATATTCATGTAATTACGTGTCCCGTCACGTTCCTCGAAAAACCTTGACCTTGCGCTCGTGGACGTAAATATATCATAAAAGTCAACAAAACGCATTCCCCTTTAGTAATTTGTCCTGTGATGGAAAGAAGTGAGCTTGAAGGAAATAACCTGTCATACAAAAGCGCGGAAATACGCTTTGACTCGTAAAATTCAAATAACATCGCGGTTGTTACTTGCGAGCACAAAAACTTTGGTATAATTTGCGCACAGTCTCAATTCGCACATATGCAAAGAAATTTATGTTCGACTATGCAGTCGACATTGCAGTCATCAAATGCAATTACACATGCTGTTTCACAGTATCGTTCTATTCCGCTTATCTTCGTTATAATAACTTGCGATAATGATATTCGACGTGTGCACTCGAGCGCTTTTTAGCAGTCTTTAACACTCCACAGTCATCTACAGTATGTCTATATAATCGACATAGTTAGCAATTCAAATTCTCATATTACGCTATACAGTGGTACTAACGTAATCTATTTATTACATCTGTTCTTTTGCGAAATAAATAATTACACCATAAATAATTACGCTATAAATAAATAATTAAGCTATGCATATATAGTTACATAAATAATTACGTATATAATATGTACAATGTATGTTATATAAT